CTCTCTCACTCACAGGAGAGTCAGATGGGTTTTGTTTGTTTGTTTGTTTGTTTGTTTTGGCTCAGAAACCCAAACAGGAGCTTGACATCAAATGCTGACCCCGTCCCTCCCTTTCTGGGACACTGGGCCAGAGCAGCAGCCTGAGAAGATGTGAAATGGGAAACACAAAGATTACAAAGCCTTTGTTGTTGTTGTTGATGATGATGATGATGATGATGATGATGATGATGATGATGATGATATTTGGGGTTTTGGAGGGGGTGGTTTGTTTGGTTTGGGGGGTCGGGGTGTTGCTTTGCAGCCAGGCTGACCTGAAATTCAGTATGCAGCCCAGGCTGGCCTCTATCTAATTCAGTCTTCCTGTCTCCCTCCTGAGTGATGGGATTACACGTATGTGCCACGGTGCTCAGCTAAGATAATAAAATGTTGCCTATATGTAACTTTATGTCTGAAAAGCAATTCCTGACTAATGCCTTAGTGTAATTTATCTTTCCCCTTTGTTTGAGGTGCTTGTTAGTCAACAGTAGTGCCAAAGCACAAAACTGGGAGGGAAAAGTGGAGGGGTGATGGGAGAAGAGTGGGAGGGCCGGAAAGGGGGGCTGATTCGTCAAAACACGTTATGTGAGTATATGAAATTCTTAAGCAACAAAAACAAGAACCCCCCCCCCCACAACAATGACACAGAGCAAGTTTGAAACTATGAGATATGCAAAAATTCTAAGGAAGTTTGGAGTGTAGCCACTCTGTGGAAGGGCAGATAGTTTGGCATATCACACAGCCTCTTGGGGCATCAGCAAATTCTAGTGTAGTTCAGTAAGACTTTTTTTCCCTAATGGCAGTGAGTTGCTGAAAAATGTTGAAGTTCTTACTCATTCAACCAAGATGAATTACATGAGATGCAAGAGATAAGTTCAATGGAGCTAATGGGCAGATTTGGGTCCAGTGTGGGTGGTTCGTGGTCCCGAGGACTTGCTCCTTCCACCTGGCAATGCTAAAGTTTTCTCAAAGCTCAAGGTAAAGATCTAGCAGTGTGGGGGTGACGGCACTGAGTGCTGAAGTTTACCCCAAGCTGAATAGTTCTGTATCGGGATGGTGAATGTGGAACCTACTTACATTGCCCAAGCAAACCATAGGGACCATGGTGAGCTGTCACCGGCTGCCTGCATCGTGGAGTTCTGTGTGTCTGCATGTGCGTGTGCGTGTGCGTGTGTGTGTGTGTGTACTAGCTAAGCTCAGTGTTTGACTATGATCTAGAGAGCTGTGCCACCTCTATAAGCAAGACAGGGACCTAAAGCCCACTTCACTGCAGCTGTAAAGCAGATGCCAGCTCACGCCCCCCCCCCCTTTGTCTGGGAAGTTGGCGGCACTGAATCCGTGGGATGTGCTGATATCCCTGCTGCCAGCTGGGCAAGGCTGCAAACTCACTTTTGGTCTGAGATCTCCCTCTTTGTTCTCCATGGTTGTTCTCTCATGTCTTTCCCAGAGAGATATATGGCTCATGAATGCATGCACACACGTGCGCGCTCACGCTCACACACACACACACACACACACACACACACACACACACACGGCTTACGCCATGGCTCTTGCATTAGTTGGATTTGGAGACATGACAATTGCTTGGTCTTGATTATTCTATGTCAAAGACACATGATCTGTGTCAATTAGCAATCAGACAATCAAAATCCCAGTGTGAAAAGAGATCTTCCTCTGGGAGTAGTTTGACCAAGAGGGAGCCCTGATTGGAATTTCCTACTTCTACCTGTGGTCTGTGGCCTGTCTGTGTTACCTGTGTGTGTCACTATTGTCAGTTTGTTCCTGTGCCTGTGCCTGTGCCTGTGCCTAAAAGGGGGCTTTTCTCTATATTCATTGAGTAGCAGAGAAAATATGGCATGGGGAAGGAATGGAAAATACATTTTTAAAGAGCTGTTTACGCACACACACATGCAAACACACAAAGTATGGGAGAGTTTATAACTTAAAATAAACCTGTGCATTTAGCTTAGATTGTAAAAACTTACTGCAGGGGAAGCCCAAGGCATAGTAAGGTTGGGTATATTGCTCTCTTGAAGGCAGGTTAAACTTCAGCTGAGTGTGTAGGACTCAGTAGGCTGAGGACACAGTCTTAAATTATTAACTTGGCTGCAAGAGTCCAGTCGTGAAAGTCAGAGATGTCAGAAGATGTAACACGACACAGTCTGACCTGGGTACTCCGTCAGCTGGAATTCTCTGGGTGGCTCCAGAGATGTCAGTGAAAGCTAGGCCACTCCCACTTACATCACTACCAATTTCCTTTATTGCCCCTGCCCTAGACACCACTAATCTGCTTTCTGTCACTGTGGGTATGTCTACTCTGGATCTCCCTGATATATTTAGAATCATATACTAGATGACCCTTTTTAACTGACATGTTTCACATTATATGTTTTCAGAGTTTATTCAAAATGGTCTGTATCAGTGATTCATCATTCTTTTTCAGGCTGATTTTTTTTTATGGTCACGCCCCATTTTACATCAGTTGTTGACTGTTTGATTATTATGAGTAGAGATGCTATGAAAATTTTCATTCCATGCTTTGTTTAGGGTTTGGGTTTTGCTTATTGTTGTTTTGTCTGCTGTTATTTTGAGTCAGGGTCTCTATGAAGCCCAAGCTGGCTGGTACCCAACTCCAGAGCTTTCTACCTCGTCTCCCCAGTGCCAGGATTTCATGCCTACACCACCATCCCAAGCCCTCACACATTTCTACTTCTGCTACGTTAATATCAACGAATAAAATTACTGAGCCATACACTGTCTCAGAGCCTCCTCTCCATTTTTGCCAAAGCTATTACTGTCTTGCTTTTTAAAATATAGTCATTTTGGTGCCTATAGTATAACTGTGGCTTTGATTTTTTTATCTTCCCAATGAGTGATGACCTGGTGTATTTTTAAAATGCTTTCATCAGTCTCTTACACATTGTCATCAGTGAAATGTCTAGTCAGCTCCTTTCCTTAGTTTTGGTTGGATTACCTTTGTATTGTCTCACTGAGTTGTAAAAATTCATCATATATTCTGTATATCTTTTATTAGATATTTGATGCCAAATATTATAGCTCCTTAACGAACTGCCTCTTCATTTTCCTGGCACTATCCACTTATGTGAGTTTTAGGGACCTGACCTGTAGTTATTATCTTGCTTACATAGCAAGTGCTTTAACCACTCAGCTGTCTCCCCCAGACACCACCTCCATTTACAATTGTTTGTTTGCTTGTTTGGAGACAGAGTTTCTCCACATAGCCCTGTCTATCCTGGAACTCAGAGATCTGCCTGCCTCTGCCTCCCAGTGCTGGGATTAAACGTGTACGAAACCATACCCACCTCCATTTACAATTTTTGTTTGTTTTGTTTCTGAGGCAGGGTTTCTCTATGTAGCCTTGGCTGCCCTGGATCTTGCTCTGTAGACCAGGCTGCCCTCGAACTCACAGAGCTCTGCCTGCCTCTGCCTCCCGAGTGCTGGGATCAAAGGTGTGCAGCACCACGCCTGGCTTTTATTATTTTCCATTTAGAATTTTTAATGTTTGTCTCATGGTCTCATCTAACTTAGCATGAGAAGGCTTTGTCCTCATGTTTCTTCTGAGACTCTTTATACTTTTAGCTTTATAATAAAATCTTGGATCCATTTTCAAACACTGTAAGTGTTAAAAGGAAGGTTCCTCCTTCATTTTTTTTATTGGAACATAGTCATACATGTAAGATTTATTGAAAGGAAGCCATTCTTTCTCTGTCATAAAGGAAAGAAAAGGATAGATGAAGAACTCGTGGGGGAAGTCGATTATTTGTATTTGAACTTTGTTTCCCAAATCAGCTGTTAGACACAGTTTCATTTTTTTTTCCTACATGTCATGTTTGTCTGCATGTATGTGTACCGATCACACGAAGTGCCTGAAGAGGCCAGGAGAGGGGGGTCAGATCCCCTGGGATTGGAGTTATAGACAGTTGTGAACCACCAAGTGGGGATTGGGAGTTGAACCCAGGTCCTCTTAAACCATTGAGCCATCTCTCCAGCCTCATGATCTCATGATTTCATCTCTTGGCCATAGCAGGGAAGCGAGAACAGTTTGGACAGGTGCTTTTTCTGTCATGTTCTGGACAGTGGTGACCTTTCTCTGTGTGTGTGTGTGTGTGTGTGTGTGTCTGTCTGTCTGTCTCTGTGTGTGTGTGTGTGTACATTAAAGGGTCTAAGAATTAGGAAGGTCGAGAACCGCCAACCTGGAACTTGCTCCTCGGCTGGTTCGACAATTGCTTCCCCTTACTAACAACCCACAGAAAGCGAACAGTTCTCCCTCTGACTGTCCAAGGAAGAATTGTGAGCTGGCTTCCCAGGGCCCTCCTCTGATCATACTTAATTTTTATCTTAGTAAGTTAAAGTGTTAACTGTGGGGCTGAAGAGGTGGCTCAGCAATTAAGAACATTGACTGTTCTTCCTGAGGACCCAGGTGTGACCCCAGCACCCACGTGGCAGCTCACAACTGTCTGTCACTCCAGTCCCAGGGGCTCTGACACTCCTCTGGCCTGCACAGGCTCCAGCCACACAAGCAGCACACAGGCACATGTGCAGGCAAATATCCATAAACATAAAACAAAATAATTTTAAACTAATTTTTTTTTAAACTATAAAACAGTGTGGGTTCCTGTCTGTTTCAGTTATTAAGGGATTCTGTAGTTCTGAGACTCAAAAATCTCCTGTTCTGTTTGCTTTTCATTGACATGAGAAATTAAGAAGGTTAATTGTCCACGAACAGCTGCTTTTGGTCCCATAATTCGCTGGCCTTCTCACTCGAGCGTAGAAGCTTTTGAATTACGGGAGCATCGCTGAGCAGCCATAGGTGTAGATGCATTGTTTGTTGTCAGCGAATGCGCTAATTCCCAAAGTCTTTGTGCGTGAGCACTCAGGTCCCCACGCCTGTGCTGCTGGCTTGAATGCACCTCTCCCTTAAAATGTTTGCCTCAGTACCTAACATCCGGAGAGAAAGCAACCCAGCAGCATCACGGTGAGGTACAGCAGCTGCGCCAGAACCTGCACCGCCTCCAGATCCTGTGCAGCTCTGCCGAGAAGGAGCTGCGGTACGAGAGGGGCAGGAGCCTGGACTTCAAACAGCATAACAGCTTGCTCCAGGAGGAGAACATCAAGGTAACTTTCCCAGCCACAGCCTTTCCTGCCGGCCCTCGGCCACAGCTGGGGATTGCTAAAGCACGGTTCTCGGTAATTACCGCTCGAGTTTGGATCCACGCCGGGTGGGTCGGACGAGGCCAGCTGTCTGTTAACTCCCTTCTTCCACTTTCTCTGCTGCTAGTCAGGTGCATGTGCTATCAGTCCCCAAGCAGAAAAAACAAAACAAAACAAAACAAAACAAAACAAAACAAAACAAAACAAAAAAACAGCGTAGTGACACGGTCTGTTGAAATCCTTATCTCAATTTTTTAGCATTTAATTTTACTTCAGTGCTGGTCTCCCTGCATTAGTTGTATAGAGCCAGGTCTACTTCTCTATTTGTGTGTTGGGGGGGGGGGTCACAGATTCATAGTTGCTTTTGAAACACATCAACATTCAGAACAAGGCACCCTATAAATAATGTATCCTTCCAGTTACAGTTCAGTTCCAGAAATACACATTACAGACTTGGTTCTCTAACATATATTAGAGGCTCTAAACCTATATATTGAAGGCTCTAAACTTCAATATTCAGGGCCTGGAGACGTAGCTCAGTCTAGAGTGCTTGTCTAGAATGCACAAGGCCTTGGGTTTAATCCCCAGCACCCCCAAAGTGGGGGTGGCAGAAACCTGGTCTGGCAAATGGAAGCCCCTGAGATCGGTCTGTTTGCTTTTGAGACAGTCTCTTGTAGAACAGGCTGGTCTTGAAATCACTCCGAAGCCAAGGACCCTGATCTTTTTCCTGTCTCCACCTGCCATGTACTGAGATCACAGGCATGTATCCATGTCCAGCTTCACTAAGCTGGACATACTCGAGCAATACTGTGTCTTTCTTAGGATACAACGACCCGAACGACACAGACCCTAACTGACCCTCTTAGGAATATGTGTTCAGTAGGCAGTCTTTCAGAAATGGATAAATAATAGCTTCACAAAGAGAGGAGATGCTTCCTACGGTTTGAAGTCTCTCTCCTGGAGCCCGGCGTATAGCAGTACCATAAACAGTATCGATCATAAACCTCCGCACAGTTGTTAGGGCCACCAGGGTTGCAAAGCTAACAGACTGTAGAATCTGAATTGAAACATGGGTAGATTTGACTTTTCCATATTGCAACCTCGCCCCAGCTTGGAGTCATTTTGGGGGCCTTTGCTGTGTGTGTGTGTGTGTGTGTGTGTGTGTGTGTTATATGTATGGACATGTGCTCATGTGTGTGCATGGATGTATGTGTGAGTATATGAGAGCAGGTGCTCACAGCGTCCTTGGATGGACTGGAGTAGGAGTTACAGGTGGTTGTGAGCCTCTGATGTGGGTCCTGGGAATGTGCAACAAAAGCAGTATGTGCTCTTAAGCAACCCATGACTGATTTCCTAGAATCCGCTCAGATGATCAGACTCTGTGTCTCTACTGTTAGGCATAATAGAGCAATTAACATCCCAGAATACTCAACTGCACTACATTTGAACCATTTTGTTGCAAATTATACTACAAAGAAGGTGCATAAAATTCTGCTATGCAGTTTAACACCTTACAAAGTGAATGTCTGTGGACACCAACTAGAACAACATTGAACCAAGCCTGCACACTGGCAGCCTGGAAACTCTTTCCCTCCCACAGTCCCAGTCACTCTCTCACACCCACTCTGTGCCAGAGGAGCACTGAGACACTGTCCTGGATCCTCTTTGGACAGCAGAAGCCACCCTGGAGGCAGAGGTCATTGGCTTAACAGTTTTAGTCCAACCAAACGGTCCTGTGGCCTCCTTCGCTGACTCCTTTAGCTTTCCTGGCCTGGGGAGTCAGTGGGCAGTGGGCTGGGAAAGGAAGATGCCCTCTTCATTAGGAATGAGAGGCCTGGGTTTCATGGTTCTAAGCCAACCCATGCACCCAATACCCCACTCCTTGCTTGCTTCTTTTCCTCCAATGCAGTGCCCCGCTCGCCTGTTCAACTTGCTGAGTTTTCTTTGCTGCAAAATTGTACTTGGAAGTGAAAACTCCAGGCTTTCTAATAGGCCAGAGTTCCTTTTGGGAAGAAATGAAGCATGAACAGATTTGTCCTTGTCAATTACATTACAAAAGCGCCAGCAGCCCTCCAAGGGTGTCAACCCTGTGTCAGTACCCGATGAGAACATGAGGAGAGCTGAGACATTTGCACTGGTTTAAAGGGAGGAAAGAGTGAGTGTCCACTGGGAAAGGGGAAGTTTACAATGGTCAATCTGTAATTTCTTCTTGGCGTTTTAGTAGAGACAAGGCTCATTAATAGTAATTTGTTTCCCATTGACCTTTGACCCATCAATGACCAGGAGGCATTTGGCTCTTGGGTTAATTTCCTCATACTTTTTTTTTTTTTCTCCATGTGGTTTAACTCTTACTGTCTGTTAACATCTTTGGAGACAACATTTCTCTGGCATTCGGGAACTAATGAAAAGCCATTATCTCAGACGTGTGCAGTTCACAGATGAAGCCCTCTTTCCCGAACGGGATAAACAGCAGGAGTTGCTGGCTTGTCCTTTTTTTTTTTTTTTTAAAGGACACCAACATGCACGCCCATGTGTGTACGTGCTCTAATGTCTGTAAATGCAATTCTGGGAAGAGAGAAAAGTGGGGTCGTTCAACCACAGGTTCAGCACATGAGTCACACACTCATCTGGTCTGCTTCTGTCTGCACTGTTAGCATCATTTACCTCCTTGCCGGTTCTTGGAACTGTCACACTTCAAAGCCTACCTGCTAATCTAGCACATACGTGTAGCGGTAACTCCTCAAAGTTTATCATTTTGTCCCTCATAATAATATTATTGTATGTGTGTGAGTGTGGTACACACGTGCCATGGCGCGCGCACACACACTCAGGTCAGAGGACAACTTTTGGGAGTCAGTTCTCTCCCTCTACCATGTAGCATGCAGGGGATTGAACTCAGGTCAGCAAGCTTGTGTGTGCGCATACGCGCTCTGGGTCTCACGCCCAGTGCCTGAGAAATGCCAGGCACGCTTTCTACTGTTTGATTGCATCCGCAGCCCTGCTTTTATAGTTTTTTGTTTCTTGTGGGGGTTTTGTTTTTGTTGTTGTTGTTGTTGTTGTTGTTTTTATGCCCCATCTCTAGATCAAAATGGAACTCAAGCAGGCCCAAGAGAAGTTGCTGGACAACGCCAGGATGCACTCGTCACTCACGGCGGAGTGGAAACACTGTCAGCAGAAAGTCAAGGAGCTGGAGCTAGAAGGGCTGAGGCAGGCACAGAGCATCAAATCGCAGCAGAACCTGCAGGAAAAGCTGGCTCGGGAGCAATCGAAAGTGGCGGATGCGCAGGAGAAGGTAATTATCTTCATGCTCGGGAAGCAATGTACACAGCTGGAGCCCCACTTCCTGCGGATGTTAAGAAACAGGTGTGCGCAAACTTTTCCTTGATCCTCTCCATGTTTTCCTATTTTTATTAATACTTTTTCGTCTCTCCTTACCTTTCTAATAAATCCTGTGTATTTTTGAAAACTGCCTGGAGTTTGAAATGTTAAGTTTCTGGGACTGGGAAGATGCCTCATCAGTAACGGGCTTGCCACACACAAGCATGAGGGCCTGAGTTCAGCTCCCCAGAACCCACAGTGCATGCCCGTAATCCCAGCATTGGAGAAGTAGACCCATGAGGTTCCCTAGAGCTGGCTGGTCAACCAGCCTAGCTGAAATAGTGAGCTCCAGGCCAGCAAGAGACCCTGTCAAAAAAAAAAAAAAAAAAAAAAAAATTCGGTGTGGGTGTCGGGAGACAGAGGAGTGCCAACCCCACTGCACTCCTCTCCTCTCAAAGGCATGATCATGACCCCAGTGGCTTGAGAGAGAGAAGGGCCAGGTGGGGTGATGGAGACGGCAGGTGGCTGGCCATGGGCGATGGGCAGGTGAACGCAGCAAGGACCGACTCTCAGAACAGCAGGCTTTCTTAAGCAGTTGGAGAGAACAGAGGCCATTGAATATTTAAACCTTTGGGGACTGGGTGGAGTGTACGTCATTGGCCATGGCTAAGGTGCTGGGAATGCCTTATTTGCTTGAAGAGGAATTCCAGGGGCTTGATGGCTGGGCAGGACCTTGTAAGGAGAGGAGACGTTCAACCTCGCTTCATTAGCTCCTCCAATGGGGGCAAAAGTGGGGGCACAGGACCACGTGCACCGGGGTATGCAGGCCTGGGGGGAGGGGTGGGGTGCTCTCACTCCTACTTCTGGAGATGAGATTTCCGGGCTGGACATGGCTGGACCTCACTCCTGCTCTTGCCCCCCAGAGCAGGACAGCCCTTATCAACTCTTGGCCTCCACACACCTGTGCACACAAGCGCGCACGCATACAGAAACGTGTCCACACATAAATCTATCTACATGCAAACGTATGTTTAATTAAAGCTGTAACATGAACTTAGAACTGAAGCCAGAGGACATTTATACTTTTTAATTTCAAAGACCTTTTTTTTTCTCATTTGAAAAGGCTAGTCACATCACTTTTACTTTGTAATGTTTGAAAAAAGCAGTTCCTTGTTTTATCGTATATGTCTATTATTTTGTACATATAAGTATACATATTGCCTGCATATATGTATCCATGTGCACCACATGCTTGCCTGGTACCTGAGAAGATCGGTAGAGGGCATCAGGTCCCCTGGAACTAGAGTTACAGATGGTTGGGAGCAATCATGTGGGTGCTGGGAACTGAACCCAGGCTGTTCCCAAGAGCAGCCAAGTGCTCCGAACCACTGAGCCATTTCTCCAACCCAACTGTGTAATTTTGTTTTGGTTTTTGGTTTTTCAAGACAGGGTTTCTCTGTTTAGCCCTAGCTGCCCTGGAACTCAGTCTGTAGACCAGGCTGGCCTCAAACTGCGAGATCTGCTTACCTCTGCCTCCCGAGTGCTGGGATTAAAGGTGTGCACCACTAAGACCCGGCCCTATTTTGTAATTTTAAGAAAGATTTTTGCTGTGAAATCAGCTATTTTCAAATATTGCCCCTGTGTTTTGGGTTGCTTAGCACCAGGTATCAATATAACAGTTGTGTGTGTGTGTGTGTGTGCGTGTGTGTGTGTGTGTGTGTGTGTGTGTGTGTGTGTACGTGTCTCCCCCTATTGCCGTGGGTCTTACTGCCTTGCAACTACTAAGCAGCATATCTGCGTCTGGAGATGAGGGTGCACTCTTCTTCAGAGGGACATCGTTCCAGATAGCATAAAGTAGAGACAAGCACCGACACTGCCCCAGGAGCCGGCAGATGAGCCACTGTCTGTGTACATGCTAGCCTGTAACTGCCTGTAACAAGGGGTGTGACCCGGACACCTGGAGCTCATCGCTGTCACTTGCAGGTGGATGTCTGTGAATTTGAGGGGCAGCTGGGTCTACCCAGTGATGTGCCGGGCCAGCCAAGGCTACACAGGGAGACTGAAAAACAAAAACAAACAAACAAAACAAAAGAGAAAACCTTTTCTTTGTTCGGAGAGCTGCCGATCTGAGAAGACGGTGGATTAACACCTGAGAAACCATCTCCTGTCTCACCTCTAGCCAGCAGGTTGCATAGGGAGGAGAGGCAAAGCTCGGGCAAGAGGCTGGCCTCTCTTCCTGGCGCTCAGCCACGATTCCGGGACCCAGGATGTCCACGCCCCTCATTATCATCCTTGCTTCCTCCCTCATTCTCTGGGTGGTTTTGCTCAGGTACTTGAAACGCTGAGTCAGGCTAGTCTCTGCCACCATCAACTTCGACCCCCTCCAGGGCACCTGGACTGGTGGTAGGGGTGGTTAACTGAGAACACACGAGCCATTAGCGGCGTCTGTGTGCTAAGCTGCCAACCACGTGCGTGTTGTTTTTACGCTCCTCTCCACAGCGTGAAGCACGAAGATGTCTTTGTAACACAGCCTTCCCTGTCTCCTACCGTAGGTACTTGCTGTAGTTCAATTTCGTGTAGAGTTTGTTGTTGAAAAGGGGCCACAGCCTCCTTAATGTCTTACTTTTTCACCCGAGATCTTGGACCTGCAGCGGAGGCTAGACCATGCGCGACAAGTCTGCCTTTCAGATGTCTGTATTCTTCGGAAGCAGCAGCTAGAGGACGAGATCAGGGAAGCAAAGAGCAACGAGGCCAGGCTGCAGCAGCAGTGTCAGGACGAGCAGCAGAGGAGGTAAGGGCCGCCAGGGTGTGGAGCTGCTAGGGCGGAGGTTTACCTGCAGTGCTGGCAAACTGCCGTAACCCGATTCACCCGTGAAATGTGACGCATTGCTTGCCCACCTCCCTGATGTGATCTGCACAAATTCAGGCTTCACTGAAGCTGTGTCTTCTGTTCATTGGCCAGTGTTCCTCAGGTGGTTCTGGATCATACGTAGGCACCTTTAGCATCAACAAACTGCTAGTAAGGATGAACTACGGATTTCTTCCCCTTAAAATAATTACGATTCTGACGTAAAGCGTTCTTTTGGATGCCCTGGACCTTGGTGACAGATGCTTCTCGTTTGTAAGATGTTCAGAATGCGTTATATGTATTTTGAGAAAAAATAAGATTATCCACTCAAAACGCATGGAGATGTTCACATGCACTTTGTAGCTCAGAATCTTACTTCCAGCTGTGGTTAGAAGTCCAGTGCTGGAACCTGTCACAAAATACTACTGAGTAAATAACTGTTGAATGAATGAATGCTTGAGTAAGTGACTGGCTGGATATTTGTATGCACAAAGACTGAATACCCTCAATGAGTGAGAAAACGCTTGCCTCACCTGCCATGTCTTGCGAGATGGTGGGCTAGCCTGCCATAGTGCAGCTAGGTCCCAGCTGGTAGCTCACGAGAAAGCAGTGGGACACCCCAAAGATAAGCATACCCTGAGCTGACACAAGACTGATAGATGATACACACTCGCAGGTCAAGGGGCAGATAGCAGTGTCAGCCGCACACCCAGGAGGTGCCAGAAAGCTTGCCACAAGGCCAGATAGCTGAACTGAGGAAAACTCCATCTTAAAACATGATATGGAAGGGCTGGCTGAGGGGGAGAGGTGGCTGAGTGGCTGAGAGCACTTGCTGTCCTTGCAGAGGATTTGACTCCCAGCGCTTTACCGACACAGCCATCTTCCAGGCCCTCACGCTTCTTTTCTGAGGCAGAAGTCTTGCTGAATGGCCCAGGCTGGTCTCAAACTTTTGGGGTCAAGAGCTGTTCCTGTGCCAGCCCCCACCCACCCCGTATTTGGACTGCACGTGAGCACACCCCTCTAGGCAGACTTCAGTCTCTACAGTGGACATAGCTGTGTCCGTGTTTTCTGTTTTCCCTTATACGAGCTCCATCATTTACAGCTTTCAAGAATCCAGTCCATTAATCATCAAACTTAATCAGATCCGTGGGCATAGAGTTGATCATGATGCAGGAACAATGCAATCATAGCCTTTATTGTCCTTTAACATCTGTGGAATCAATAGAGATGGCCCCCATTTCATTTCTGATGTTAGGAATGTCTGTATTCTTTACATCTTGGTTCGCCTGCCTGAATAGAGATTTGTCAGTTGTATTGATCTTTTTCAAGAACTGCCTTTTGAGTTTATTTCATTTTTTCTATTTTTTTTCCTGATTCCATTTATCTATTTATTCTCTGTACCCCACACCTCTTGACCAGATCTCATGTGCCCAAGGCTGGCCTCTATATAGCTGGCCTTGAACTCCTGAACCTTATGCTGCCACCTTCCAAGTCCTGGTTTGAGACAACAGAATCTCAGTTTGTAGTCCAGGGTATCCTGGAAGTTACTAGATAGCCCAAGCTTGCCCCAACTCACAGCAATTCTCCTGCCTCAGCTTCGAGAGTGTTAGAATTGCAGACATATACCACCACACCTGGCTGAGATCCTCATTTTTTTATTCTTTTTTTTCCTGTTTGTCCTTGGTTTATAATGTTTGTCTTTCTTTGGCTTCTTATGGTGGGAGCTTTGAATATTGATTTTAGATTCTCCTTCCTTTATAACATACACGTTTCCTGGTACCAGTTTCTTTGTTGCAGTCCACAAAGTCTGTAAGTTCTATTTTCATTTAATTCAACCTGACAGGCATTAGAGATGCCTACAACATTGGCAAAGCACGCATCCGGGTGTCTGTGAGGGTTTCTGGACACAACTGGCTTGTGGGTCCGTATACTGAGTGTGAGAGACCCACTCTGAAAGGCTGGGGCCCAGATGGGGTGGAAAGGTGAGAGAGAGAGAAGCTCACTCTGCCAAGGGCTTGGCCCTTGCTCAAAAACATGGTTTCCACTGCTGTTGCCAAAGGTATCAGACTCCAGCTTCCTCAGCCTTTGGGTGTGGCACTGTGCCAGCAGCTCTCTGTGGTGCCGTGGACCCTCAGCCTGGAACCGGGGCTGTTGCTGCTCTGGCTTTGTATTCTGAGGCTCCAGCGTCTTGGACTGAGCAGCTCTGAAGCACAGGGCTGTTGTGAGGCTCTTGAGCCTCTGGCCCTGTGAGTCCGTGGGAAACACACACCCACACACACTGTCTATATTTAATTGGCTCCAGTTGTCTGAAAACCTCGGACTAGACACATGGAAATATACTTTATGTTGACTGATTGTCTGAAACAGAATTTTGCCATGTTGCCCAGGCTTTGCCTGGAACTCCCGAGTTCAAGTGAACCAACCTCCTACCTCGTCCTGAGTAGCTGGGGCGACAGATGTGCACGCCGTGCTGAGCTTCAAGTGCTGTGGGTTTTGTTTCTGCTGTAAGTGGTACTATTATGAGGGGTGAGTGTGTATCTCAATGGTAGAGTGCCTACCAGTCTTGCGCAGGGCCCTGAATTCAACCCTGGCACTGCCCAAAGTTGTTTCATTTGTTTTTTGTTATTGTTGTTGTTTTGTTGGTTTTTTTTTTTTAAGGGAGTTTGAGGGGCCGGGAGGTGACTGTGGGTTCACACTCACCATGTAAGCCTGACTACTTGAGTTTAATCCCTCAAACCCACTTAAATGTGAAAGGAGAGCCCTCCGACCTCCACACACACCACGCAAAAGGAGGCTCAGAAGGCTGTGGAAGCACCTGGCGGGACCATTTGTGGAGCTGAGGGCTTAAGAGGGCCTTCCTCAGCCACAGCTGTTTAGGCCGAGAGTGAAGCAGTTGGTGTGTGGGGGCGGGAGTAATTCCTGGGAAGAAGACTTGACTGGGAGATGAAAAAGTTCCCTCGATGGAAGAGAATGTTTGGAGTTGGACAGTGGTGAAAAAAAAAAAAAAACGGGTCCAGAAGGCCAGGCACCCAGGTTCATGCAGAGGTGCCAGACCATAGTGAGCAGTCTGAGCATTACTGAAGCCACTGAAGGATTTTTTCTTTTTCTTTTCCTTTTTCTTTTTCTTTTTCTTTTTCTCTTTCTTTCTTTCTTTCTTTCTTTCTTTCTTTCTTTCTTTCTTTCTTTCTTTCTTTCT